GTTTGTTTTCTGTCTTTTCTATTAGCTTTACAACCCCTGAGGGCTGTAATTATGTTTATTGTGCCTAAGAGAGCACAATACAAAGGAAGACCTCTGAATAAAATAGTGAACCAAGAGGGAAGAAAGGCTGTGACTGGGAGTCACTGAAAGCTGACTAGCCGCTTCCCTGATGGAATCAGCTGCTTTTTTTTAAAATTTAAGACAATTAGCATAAAATTGTTTTTCGCATGTGTAGGATCCAACAGTTTTAAAAATATATTTTTTTTATTGATTTCAATGAGGGGAAGAGATAGAAACATCAATGAGAAAACATTGATTGGCTGCCTCCTGCACGCCCCCTATAGGGGATTGAACCTGCAACCCAGGCATGTGCCCTGACGGGGAGTCGGACTGTGATCTCCTGGTTCATAGGCCTATGTTCAACCACTGAGCCACACCGGCTGGGCAGGATCCAGCAGTTTTGACAAATTCTGATGTGGTTGGATTCCAGTTGTTTTGAACTGTAGTGGGAAGCCTTATGTGTAGAGTACTCTGAGCCTAATATTGCTTTAAAAAAGGTCAAGTAAAATAAGCAGCATAATGTGGTCCAAGGAACACAGGCCTGAGAGTCCTGGCTTAGCTTTGGTCTTTGGTTCTTATATTGCTGTTGTGTCCTTGTTTCCTTACCTGTAAAATAAGGGAGGTTGCACTAAAGAGATAAAAGTCCCTTCCACTTTGTAGAACCCTTTCGCTCCAGATAGGTAGCAGCAGTTTAAGCAATCACGACATTTACTTCTCTCTTGAACTAGATCATGGAGTCATGATGGCTCTAGGGCTGGTGCAGTGGTTCAAAGATGTCATCAAGGACCCGGGCTCTTTCCTTCCTTCTGCTTTGCCATTTGCTTTGTCTTCACACTGTCCCTCTTGGTCACAAATTGAATGCTGCAGCTTTAAGCATCACAGCCTCTCACGAGAGTATCAAATGCAGAAAGGTAGGGGCATGAGAGGAACTCTCCTCCTGAATCTCTCCTTTTATCAAGGAGTAAAATCTGCCCTGGCAGGTGTGCTCAGTTGGTTGGGCATTGTCCAGTTCACTGAAAGGTTGCTGGCTCAATTCCTAGTCAGGGCACATGCCCGGGTTGCAGGCTCAATCCCTCATAGAGGTGTGCAGGAGGCAGCTGATTGATATCTCGCTCTCATATCAGTGTCTCCCCCCCCCCCCTCCTCTCTCTAAAATTCAATTTTTAAAAATCTTTTTAAAAAGAGTAAAATATTTCCTGGGAGCATCTCAGCAGACTTTCTTTTGTTTAGTTGCCAGAATTATCTACGGCCAACCATTACAGACCAAAGGATTTGCATACTCCAAATATCATTCATTCCCCAGGGCTGGCCTGTATTTAGTTGTATACAATTCAACACAGGTGAGTCCTGTCAACAACCAAGGAGTGAAGCAGGGCTGTCCAGTAGGTTGCCTCATGGATCTGAAGTTCTATGACTCTAAGTCAGTGGTTCTCAATCTTGGCTGCACATTAGAATCACCTGGGAATCTTTTTAAAATCCTGATTTCTGGGCCTCATCCTCTGGATATTCTGTTTCTTTGTTATGGGGTGGGGCTACCACATTAGTAACAAAGAAACAGAATTTCCCGAGGATGAGGCCCAGAAATCAGGATTTTTAAAAAGATTCCCAGGTGATTCTAATGTGCAGCCAAGGTTGAGAACCACTGATCTAAGTGCTTGGACGTTAGAGGCTCCCTTGTTATCCTGCGGGGACTTAATTGCATTCTTCATCTTAGGTGAGACAATGGCCAAGAATGACATTTTTTTTTAAGGAATGGCTTCCATTCCTGAATGAGGGAGGAAGCAGAAAGGATGGATTTATTGGCCAAGAAAAATTCAGTGAGCCACTAAGCCCACATCTTCTGTAAAGTTTCGACTGAACTGCCCACTGCTGCTCTAATAGGGAGCAGAAGAGATTAAAGATCACTCCCACTTCCAATTATGAGGTAAGATCTCAGGTAACTTCTTAAGCAAACTATTACTTCTGCTTGTCCAGGCCACACAACCAAGTATTCTCAATAAGTAGAATCTTGTTTTAAAGCTGTTTGATAACAGCCTGACCTGTGTGGCTCAGGGGTTGAGTGTCGACCTATGAACCAGGTCAGGGTTCGATTCCCATTCAGGGCACATGCCCGGGTTTTGGGCTCAATCCCCAGTAGGGGGCGTGCAGAAGGCAGCCAATCAACGATTCTCTCTCATCATTGATGTTTCTATCTCCCTCTCCCACTCTCTCTGAAATCAAGAAAAATAGACTAAAAAATAAAGCTATTTGATAATAAGTCAGGTAACATATAAGGACTGTATTCATAATGGTCATGTTATTGTGAATATACTATGTGCCAAGCACTGTGTTAGGTCCTGGGAATCCTATCTAATAAAAGAGAAACATGGTAATTAGCTGTACATCCGCTACCCTTCCCATTGGCTAATCAGGGCGATATGCAAATTAACTGCCAGCCAAGATGGCGGCTCGCAGCCAGGCTACTGACACGAACAGGAGGCTTGCTTGCTTCAGTGATGGAGGACTCCAACGTTCCCGCCTGCCGCTGCCTGCCTCTCAGCTGCAACTCTAAGCAACTATGTTGCGAATAAAGAAGCTAAAAATACCCCAGAAACCTGCTTTACTCAGTGGAGCTTCAGCCAGCCGGACTGCAACATGGTATCAAATACAGAAGGTAAACAAAGGCCAGAAACCTGTTTTCAGCAGCCGAGTCCTCAGAGCTAAAGCTGACCCAGAATAAAAAAGAAAAAAAAAGAAAAAAAGGAGCGGTTGGGAGCTT